GCCCGCCAGCCCACGCGGGCTCCCCACATCCCGGGCGCTCGCAGGAGGCCCCGCCCGCAGCCCCCCTCAAGGGCCGGGAAGGGTCTCCAACCCAGGCCTGGGCTGCTGGTTCCGCCGGGCTGGAGCTCCTGCCCTTCTGCTTCCTCCACGCCGTCCACCGCCCTTAGGATGCAGATGGAGAGCTGGGCTGTGGGCGTGGGGAGGCCCTCGGGGGCTTTGAACAGCTGCCGGGGAGCTCGGAGGGGAAGGGCGAAGCCGGGCAGACGGTGTTCGGAAACGGGCGCCCGAGTCGGGCGAAACATTTCAGCGCCGCCCCTCAGAGGCGGCCTGGGGGAGGGTTTGCTGGGGCGGGGAGTTCGAGTGACCGGCTTGAGGGGCACTGAGTCCCAGCTGTGGGAAACCCGGCCGGTCCGTGTGCCGGCGCAAAGTTAAAAGGGATAATGCTGGACCTGGTTTTTTCCTTCAAACACTCAAATGACCCACAGAGATCCCCGTTAAGGATGGAAAGTCCAGGTGGAAGAATGGGTGGCGTGCAGAAAAATGACTGCCGCTCTGCCTAAGAACCCAAGAAGTACCCCTATTCAGACAGACTGCAGCCCACAGGTGGTTTTTCTGGGTTTAACCAAAGTGTAAAGGAGCCTTTTTCTCTGTCCTCACACGGTGACCTTTGAATCCAGCAATATGAGCTGGGAGAGCACCAAGAGGAGAGAAGGGCCGTTAGTCTATTAGTTTTCTCTGTTAAAGCTGCTAACTTTGAACTCAGTGTTTTGTTTTGTTTTGTTTTAAACATTGGGGTTATTTATTATTGTCCTGTGGTTTTTGTTTGTTTTAATCTTCACTCCAGGATATTTTTTCCATTGCTTTTCAGAGAGAGTGGAAGGGAGAGCCAGAGAGAGAGAGAGAGAGAAACATCAGTTGGTTGCCTCCCGCATGTACCCAGACCAGGGCCAGGTTAGAGCCTGCAACTGAGGTATGTCCCCTTGGCCAGAATCGAACCCAGGACCCTTCAGTCCACAGGCCCACGCTCTAACCACTGAGCCAAACTGGCTAGGGCTGATATCAGTGTTTTATCTTTGCCTTTGCGTCATATCATTACATCACCTTCATTGACATTGACTATATTTTTCATTAATACTATAAATTTCCCTTCTTCATTTGATAGCACATGCTGAACTCTTTCCTTCAAATCATTTCCCTGTGTCCATGTTTATCATGTAATTGAGATGTACAAAAATATATGTAACCATGAAACAATAAAATGAACACCCATGGGTGCTCTGCCCAACTTAAGATCTCCAACGTTGCCAGTTTTATTGAGATTCCCTGGGTGTCTCTCCCCAGTGATCCACCAGGTCCTCACCAGGGGTAACCACTGTCCTAATTTTTTTCTTACCAGTCCTGCCTCCTTTCTTAGTCTCCTGTTTTGTCCATTGCTCCATCCCTTTGAAGTGTTCCACTCTTTACTCAGTTTGGAATGTAAGCTTTATGAGGACAGGGAATATGACCTTTGATTTACCACCAGTTTCAAACTGGCTGAGTGGAAGTTGCAGTAACACTGGAATCAAGTGGCTTAGTTTCTAGTCCTGTCGTAAACTACCTATGTGATTTGAGGCCAAAGAAACTCAATGTCTGCAGTGTGTTTAGCACAGCCCCTGCCACAAGTAAGCCTATCAGTAGAAAGTAAGCTCCCTGCTGGCAAGGATTTTGTCTGGGTTTATTTTCTTTCACTGTTATATCCTCAGTGTTTAAAATGGCGCCTGATACATAGTAGGCATCAATAAATAAATATTTGTTGAGTTAATGAATTAATATGCAACCTATTTTTTAAAACATATCTTTATTGATTTCAGAGAGAGGAAGGGAGAGGGGGAGAGAGAGAGAAACATCAGTGATGAGAGTCATCACTGATCAGCTGCCTCCTGCAGGACCCCAACTGGGGATTGAGCCCGCAGCCCAGGCATGTGCCCTGATCGGGAATCGAACTGCGATCTCCTGGATCCTAGGTCAATACTCAACTGCTGAGTATTGACTCAACGCCTGGCCAGGCAATATGCAAGCTATTTAAAAAAATTACCTAAAAATTACTTGGGTCTCAGTCTGTTGTTCAGGGGTATAAATAACATGATTATACCCCTGGATGTGAAAGATCTTCCTACCTCTATAATTCTTTAATTCAGAGCCATGCACGAAGCATTCAGTAAATATGTGTTGGAGAAAACAGACTGATTTGGAAAAGGGTTTCCTTCAGCCTTAGATGGTGACTGCACAGAGCTAGAGCCCCCTGTTTGCTCCAGCTCATATGCCAGTGGCAGCCAGATTTCTTCACCCCATTCCTCACCTCTGCCCTCTCTCTGCTTAGCTCTTAGGCCTTTAGTTTTCAGTTTTGTTTCATAAGATGCACCTACCCAAGACAAGGCCCTCCCACACACATGCTTCTCCCCTTCCCTCCAGCAGGCTGACAAATTGCTTATGCAATTCCCCCTAGTGTAATATTTTCTCCCAGTACTTTGCTCCAGGCAGTCGTGCATCTCCAGCCCAGTGGGCCTTCTGGATGAACTTTATCATGTAGATTTCGTGATGGAACTAACTCGGCAGAGAGAGCTGAGGATGTTAGGGACTGGGGTTCTTATTCCAATTGCAGGACAAATAGGCCACTGAGTCCGTGTAGAAGGCCCCATTAGCTGTGCTGCTCCTTAAAGTATAGCCTAAGGGGCCGTCATCATTGGTAGCTTCTAGGAAGGAAAATGTCAGCCTTGTTAGGTCTGGTTTTCTTTCCTGCCTATCATTTTTATTTAAAACCCTTTAAAAAATCTTAATTGTGTTAATTATTTTTTTCTAGAGATTTTTTCTCTGTCTTGTTCAGACAAAGATGTAAGTTAAGTTCTCCCCTCCCCCCCTTTAAGTGTTGATGAGGAACTCACTGAGATAATTTGGATAGATGCTTGTTATTAATGAAATACTTCTGTATAGGCTGGATGTTAAAAATAGGAATGATCTTGTTAACGTGAGTTCTTGTTCAGTCTTGTTAGTGACTCTAGAATAGAATCCACAGTTTCCAATGTCCCTTCTCTTGTTCATTGTGCCTAATTTAGCTTGTGAAATGGGTAAAACGGTGACCAAAGACCTTTGTTCAGACATTTTGATCTTCTAACTCTCACTGACCTTGTTTTTTGCATCTTAATTTATCTGAATTTACCTTAGCAGGAAGCAGATTTGTCACAGATATTCATAAATGCTTATTTAGAATTTTCAGTGGCTTGTTAAAAAAAATCACAAGGAATTACTTGAGGGATGTTCACACTGGGGGGATGAAGGGGGGAAGAGATTAGAGAGGGCTGTATTGGAGAGAGGCAGGTTAATTCTCATCTACTCCAGAGTGGGCGTGGTAATGGAAAGAAGGGGAAGGAAGAGGGTTATTTTTCTCATAAACACCATCTGTAGGGTGCATGAAAGGAGCATTTTAGTGATTTGAGAGGAGAGAGTCAAGCATTAGAGCCAAGCCTGAGAGCAAAGGCAGATCAAGAGCTCTGAAGGGGAACAGGTCTGTAGCGCATTGGTTGCCCTGGGCTCTTGGAGTTTTCCTTATTGGTCTTGTACTGTGATGCATATTGTTGGCAACTGTTCTTGTTATGCTGCTTACCTAATTAGGAGGCATAAGATCTGGTTTTAGAAGATTAAAAGTACTGAGTATATTCAAATTCTCTGTATAAAGACCGTATGTTCCTTGCTCTTCAGCCAGATTCAATCAGTGATTAATCTTCCCAGTGATGCTCTTCTGTTTGCTAAATTTTTTAGGTGTTGATTTTCGATTTGCATCATACATCGATGACTACATGGTGCTACAGAAGGCGCCTGCAGGGGCAGTGATTTGGGGCTATGGCATACCTGGAGCCACAGTGACAGTGACTCTTTGTCAAGAGCAGGAAACCATCATGAAGAAAGTGACTCATGTGAAAGGTAAGGCCGCCCCCATTCTCTGTTTAGCTTCTGTCTTCTTCTGCCACCTGCTGGATTATCTGAAAATGAAAGCTTACTCTCCAGCTCCCGTTATTCATCCATCCATCCATCCATCCATCCATCCATCCATCCATCCATCCATAAAAGTTATTTGAGTATTGACCGTGTGTTAGGCACTGAGGATACAAAGAAAACTGAGTCAAAGTGCCTGTCCTCAAGGGGCTCATGGAATAATGTGAGTAGACACCAAGTTATATAGTGCAGTGTGATAACTGCTACAATGAAGGTGTATATGGGGTGTCATGGGATACAGAAGAGAAACATCTACCTCAGATTGGATGGTAAGGGAAGGTTTACATGGAAGGTGGCATTTGAACTGAATCATATAGAAAGGAGAGGCAGTGTGGAGGAGTGGTTAAGAACCGAGGCTCTGGAATTCACTCTTTAGGTTCAGGTCCTGGCTCTGTCTCTTAATGGCTATATAACCTTGGACATGTTGTTTAATATCTCTGTGCCACAGTTTATTTATTTGTGAAGTGAGATAATATAGTATTGGGGATTATGTGGGTTTTTAATGAGTTAGCTCATATAAAGTATATAGAACAGTGCCTGGCACACAGTAAGTACTGAATAAATGTTAGCTGTTGTTATTGTTATTGGTATTATTTTAGTCAATCACTCAAATATTTATTGAGTGACTACTATGTGCTGGATACTGTGTTAGTTACTGGTGATGCAGTGATAAGCAAAACAGATGTGGTTTCTCCCCTAATAAAGCCAAGAGGTTAGGCAAGGAGACAGAAAAATGATAACAGTTACTGTAAAGTGTGGCAAGTGCCACCACAAGGGGGAAGTACTAGGTGCTATAGGAGTACTTAATAGGGATAATTAACTTAGTCTAAGATTTATCTTGAAAGATGAGTAGAATAAACCAGGCAGAGAGAATAGCCTGGCAAGGGCGTGGAGGCACCAATGAGCATGGGTCATTGGAGAAATGGCAAGTAGGTAGGTTTGTCAGGAACATTGGGGTACATGACTAGTGGCGGGTGACAGGGGAAAATGTTGAAATGTAGGGAGGTTTGTCATGGTTAAGGAGTGGGTACTCTATTTTGGATTGAGGGATTTTAAGCACAAAATAACACAATCAGATTTGTGTTTCACAAAGATTACTCTGGTAGCACTGTGGAAAACTGATTGGAGATCAAGCAGACTAGAAGTGGTGGGACCTGCTAGCAGGCTATTATGATATTCAGGCAATAGACAGTGAAGGCTTCACCCAAGGTAGTCAAGAAGGTGAGAATTAGCAGCCTTACAAAGGAGCCTCTGTCTAAAGGAGATAGGGCGGTAGTGGAAGGGAGTAGAGCTTTTTGTTAAGCTCTCCAAGTCTGCTTGGTAGAGAGCAAAAGTCTTTTAGTTTGTGTAGATCCTCAGTGGGCATCTTGCTCTGTCCTGCCCATGAAGCAAAATGAATAAAGTGTTATTTGGAATAAAGAAGGTAGATATGCAGGAAATTCCACAGGGCAGAAAAGAAAATGTTTCTCAGAGGAGATACTACAGGGTATATTTAAGGGTTGACTTCTATTTAAATATCAACGGGGACTCTGGGATTTTTCAGCCAGACTTCTTCAGTTAGCCACTCTGTCTGTCTCTGTTAATATTTAACTTATTACCTGTAATCCCCAAGGTGCCCACAATGAAGTAGAATTTAACAACATAAAGGTTTTTGTTCAGCAGACTGACACTTAAACATTTGGAAAATTAAAACTTGATGGATGATTGGGAATAGTCAGGTACTGGACCTGTCAACCCATGTTGTCAGATGATGCAGGATGATTCAGACACAGGGAATAAAAGTGGGGAGAGCAGAATATATCCTCTCACTCTGACACACATGGGGATGCATACGTGGATGATGAAATGAGGGTATGTCTGCCTGAATTTGTCATCATGACCGAGGTAAACAGATATATTTTCTCTCACTTAGAAAATAAAAAGTTCCTGGTTGCAGTATTAGTATGCATACTAGTTTCCTATGCTACATAATAAATCACCACAAACTTAGGTGCTTAAAAGGACACACTTTTACTGTCTCAGTTTCTGTAGATCTGAAGCCTGGCTGTTGTTTAGCTGGTCTCTCTTCTCCGGGTCTCACAGGCTGAAATCCAGGCATCAGCCAAGCTGTGTTCTCATCCAGAGGCTCAGTTGGGGAATGATCCACTTCCAAGCTCCCTCAGGCTGCTGGCAGATTCACTTCCTCGTGCCTGTAGGATTCATGGCTGCATCTCGGCTGCCTCTGACCTCTAGACCTCTGACCTCTAGATCCTCTTTTAAAGGGCTCACCTTACTAGGTCATGCCCACCCAGGATAATCTCCCTTTTTATTAAAGTGAACTGATTAGCAACTTTAATCACATCTGCAAAAACCCTTTATCTTTTCCGTAGATAACATAACCTAATCATGAGAAGGACATCTCATCCCCTTTGCCATTTTCTGTTGGTTGGAAGCATATCACAGATTCTGCCTGCGTTTAAGGGGGCGGGGATTATACAGGGTTTATTGGGGGTCATCTTAGGGTGTGTCTTCCATAGCATGCTACAATTTAAGTACTTGAGCTTTTTTTTTACATTTATACTTGGTGGTGGTGGACATGGACTTCATACAGAATAAATGCTGGTTGGAAAGGGGCAGTTTGGCCTGTAAAGCTTTCTTTACCTGCAAGTCACTTCCACAAACCATGGAACCGACTTGCAGCTGGTGGAGTGCCAGGGTTCCATGTGGGCAGAAGTAAATAAGGGTGGTTTCTTCCAGCTCTAGGTTTTTCCTCGTGGGAAGGGAAAGGTTGTGGATAATTTTTCTTTTTCTGTTCTTGGCATCTGAGATTTGGCACAACAACCTGAAAAATAATTAACATCTGATGTGAATAGCAAAAAGAAAAAAGAAAGCACTTTATGACTAAGCATGTCTCTAGACAAATTGTTTTAATTTCCTCCCTTCGATTGTTTAGTCTTCCCATTTTCAGATGGGGGCTGGTCAGGGAGATGTAGAGGAAATGGAAATAGAATGTTCTTTTCCCAAGTCTGTGGCTGGAATGTGAAGAGCAGAGGGACAGCAAATAGGCCACCAGATACGCTATCTGTCAGACATGAAAACACAACCCTAGTCAGCTTGCAAGGCTTTCTTGTTAGTGTCACCCAGGGCAGGGGTTTATTTGTCATTTACAGGATGGAGTGCCAGGCACACTCTAAGGAGCTATGTGATAAAGGAAGGAGAAGAATCTTCCTAGATGGGAGAAGAAAGATGTGAGGAAGCAGAGATTCAACTGTGATGAAAATCTACAGAAACCTGGGCCTGGATTGGGAAGAGAGGCTACCAGACAGCAGGTTATTAGGGCCAGGAGAAGGGACAGAGCAACTGTTGCCCAGAAAGCAGACCAGGATTAGCAGGAAGCCAGCTGGTTGGTGGGCTCCAGCTCTTGTGGTCAGTGACTCAGTTTTATTATTTGGATTCAACCTATTGGCCTTGGTGGGTCAACACAGTTTCTAAAAACTCTAACTGGACGTCACCATCCTGTGGTGAGCTCCACTTTAGTCCTAAACTGCCAGGCCAAGGACTGATCAATTCTCCCTGTGAAACGCAGTGGCTTCTGCCTTTATGATCCCACCCTTGCCTTTGATCAAAGAAACAGTCTTTGCAGTGGCTGCTCTCCTTTGTATATATTTACATGGGAGTAAATCCTCATTGTTTTAAATGAATTGTTTCTGGGTTACTTGGACCATTAGGGTGACCTTTCTGCAGTAGATCTGCTTTCCCCTGCCTTGCCTGGCAGTTAACTCACTTAACACTCGTTACTGTATCAGCGTTTACTTTTCTATCAAGTGGGGAAAAGCTAGAAATTAAAAGATCTTGAGAACTAGAACAGAAGGAAGTTCTCTGAGTTCTCCAGGGAGCCTGAAAGGTTTCCTCCCAACAGCGCTTAGGACTAAGGCTCAGGCCTTGACTTGCAGTTCCCTTCGCTCCTGCAGAGGGAGCTCATCCTCTGGCTGTAGTGGACTGGTACTGTCATGTTTACCCAAATGTCCCCCTTCCCTTGCTTGTCCTTTTATTGCTAGGCAGCAAAACTTTCAGAAGCTGGTGAAGGTCGTTTTCTTCACCAGCCTTATTGCCTGAATTGAAGTGAAGTGTGAATATTGAGTTAACAGAAGTGAGGAGGAATGGATTGTACAGTTGAAGGCTGAAAAATAGTCCTGCCCTCGGTTTTCTGGGGGTTGACCTTATTGCGATAAATGAGTATCGCTGGATGCAGAAGGACAGAGCTCCAGTAAGAAATGTCAGTGCGAGAAGCCTGGAAAGACCTTGGCAAGGCTGCAGCTGGGACAGATTGGCGTGTCTGCCTGCTCAGAAGTGTGAGTCACACGGAGCACGAGCACCTGTGTGACACAGTCTGTACTGGCTGCCCGCTGTTTCCAAACCAGTGATTGTTCTGCTTCAGGTGAATTACACATTTAATGTGTTGATGTCTGGCTGTCAGTGGTATAAAAGTGGACATTTGATCCTGGGCTTAATTGACCTCTTAGGGCCGGGAGGAGCAATGGAGTCAGTTGTGCTTTTTAGAGGAGCAAACATGCATCCTTACACTGATGCTTTGGGGGTTTTGGACATTCCCCCCAAGATGGAGCGATCCTTTGTGGTTTGAGCTTTTACTGGTTGTCTCCTGTCCTGCATCTGGACTTCTCATGTTCCTGCTTAGTTCTTGCTGGTTAGAAAGAACTTAGCACACTGTCTAGCTCCTAGTGGTCACTTGGGTAGTATTTTTATAATTATTATTTTTTACCGGCCGCTTAATTTCCAGTTCTTACCATTCATTTCCCTTGAAATTACATGGATCTGAGGGGCAGAAATTATAAATCAGTTCCTATTGTACATTATGCCAAGAATATTTATTTTAAATTGATTATTTCTCTATTTTATCTATTTTCTCACTTTCATTTTTTTCAATNTATTGTACATTATGCCAAGAATATTTATTTTAAATTGATTATTTCTCTATCTATTTTCTCACTTTCATTTTTTTCAACTCTGTTCATGTTGTTTGGTTCTCCTAAGCATAATTTTCCACTTTGAAGATATTTTCCTTCAGTTTCTGAATATGGTGTTTGCAGGGATGGTAGTGTGAGTGGGTGAGAGGTGGGAAGGTGGTAGAGGAGTGGTTCCTAAGGAATATGCTATGAATCTCTGAAAAGGGGTCTTGGGGAGCTTTTCATCTCCTTAATTAAGTCTGAAAACCTTAAGTCTGTTAAATAACTCTGTGGAAATAATTGGGTAAGTCTACATGTCTTCTTCACAGAGAGACTGATTTATATGCCTCTCACTACTCCTTTATGTGACACTTTCTCCGCTCACCTGTTTATCTGTTCACAGGATTGCTAGTCTCAATCCTTGGTAGCAATGTGGAGAGGAGGTGGGGAGGTCGATGACAAAGATGATACCATTGGGCAGGGGAAGTTTCAGATTACAAGTGATTTTCTCTAACCTGTGCTCACATTTGGGGCACTGTGTAAATCTATTAGATTATGATTATGTTACTATTGACAGTTGGGTAGTATAATGAGAATTTCTACTTTGTTTTTTATTAAACTCCCTTGAATTTTAATTTCTTTGTATTTTTGTCTATCTTCATTTAGGATTATAACTGGCGAATTTATTTCTCTCATAAACACTTCAGTTAAAAGTAAGGAGGGATTGGCACAGATTGAGGATAGAAATGCTGCTGCTGTTGTTATTTCTATTTGCTTGTCTGAAATTTGGCCAATTTTCATAACTTTGAATTCCGTTGATCACTAAAGCTGGAAATGGTCACAAATGAGTATGATGCACAACAGGATTGGGCTTTAATGTCATTTTAATTAATTGGTTGATTAATTCCTGGGAACCTTGTTATTATTTCAGCACACTCTGATAGATGGATGGTGGTACTGGATCCTATGAAGCCTGGTGGACCTTATGAATTGGTGGCACAGCACATTTTGGGGAGAAGGAACGTAACCCAGAGAGTTCATGATGTCTTATTTGGAGATGTTTGGCTTTGCAGTGGACAGAGTAACATGCAGATGACCGTTTCACAGGTAATTTGCAGAGTCTCAGTGAAAATAAATAGTGTTGATGTTGAAGAGGAAGAAAAAAAGTGGAGGGAGGAAGGGGCGAGGAGGAGAGAGAGAAACCTTTCTATCACGTGCCAGGGGTTCTTGTCTTTCCTTCCTGGGCTGAAGGCAGAAGCTAGAGCATGACTGACAGTAGCGGAGATTTCGTAACAAATTGAAGACAAAGCAGATTACTCTTCTTTTTGCTTGATCTTAGAAGATGAGCTTCTGAGAGAGCCTAGGGAATCAAAACAAATAGATTTTGTTTTAATGCTGAGCAACCAATACACTATGTGTCTTTTGTTGTCATGAAGATTGAAAAATTAAGATCGAATGTTGGCTTAGCTTTTTACTGGGGCTTAGAGCAAATCACTTGGTATTTTTGAGACTTTGTTTTTAAAGCATACTTTTAAAAAATGTGCTTCAATGAATATAACATACTTATCCTTTTAGCTATTGGTAAGGTGTACAGTTCAGTAGTATTAAATATACATGGCAGGGCAAAAGTAGGCTTATAGTTTTTGGTATGGAAAATAATGCAGTAATTAATAAATAGTAATACAAGAATAAACTCTTGTGTCTCACATATTTACAACTGTAAATCTCCTTTTGCCCACCCTGAATTCACAGTGCTGTGTGTGCCCATCACCCTGTCTATACTCAAAACTATTCCTTCATCCTCAACATAAACTTTGTATCCATTAAGCAATAATTCCCCCTTTCTCCTTCCTCCAGCCCTGGTAACCTCTGTTCTGCTTTCTTTCTATGAATTTGCCTATTCTAGTGACCTCACATAAGTGGAATCATATTTGACCTTCTGTGTCTGACTTATTAAGCATAATGTTTTCACGGTCCATCCATGGTGCAGCATATATGAAAATGGTATCTCTTTTTATGGCTGAATTGTATCCTATGTTATATGCCATATTTTGTTTATCCATTTATCTGTTCATGGACCCCTGGGTTGCTCCCACCTCTTGGCTATTGTAAATAAGGCTGCTATGAATGTTGGTGTGCAGATATCTGTTCGAGCCCCAGCTTTAAATTCTTTTAGATATATACCTATGAATGGCATAGCTGGGTCATCTGTTGGTTCTGTGTTTAACTTTGGAGAAACCACCAAACCACCAGCATAAATTGAACTTCATCAAAATAAACAACTTTTGTGTATCAAATAACACCCTCAAGAAAGTGAAATAACAACAGAAAGAATGAGATTAAAATATTTTCAAATCATATACCTGAAAAGTGATTATTATCTAGAATATAAAGGTTTCCTATAGTTCAACAACCAATAACCCAATTCAAAAATGGGCAAAGGACTTGAATAGACATTTCTTCAAAGAGTTTTTACAAATGGCCAATAAGTACTCAATATCATTAGTAATTAGGGAAATACAAATCAAAACCACAATGAGATACCACTTCACACCTACTAACATGGCTATAATGAAAACAAAACAAAACAAAACAAAAATAGAAACTAACACATTAGTGAGGATATAGGAATGTAAAATGGTACAGCTGCTGTGGAAAAATTAATGTCTTTAATTTTTTTCAGCAATGTTTTATAGTTTTCAGTATCTTCTACCTCCTTGACTAGATTTATTTCCAAGTATTGAATTCTTTTAGATGCTGTTATAAATCGGATTTATTTCTTAATTTCCTCTTAGGATTGTTCATTTCTGGTTTATAGAAACAAATGATTTTTGCATGTTGACCCTGTACCCTGAAACTTTGCTGACTTCATTTATTATCTCTAGTAGTTTTCTTGTGGACTCTTTGGGATTTTCTCAATGTATGGAAACATATCATCTACAGATAGAGATAGTTTTACCTCTTACCTCTTTTCTTTCCAAATTGGATACTTCATTTTTGTCTAATAGCTCTGGTTCGAACTTGCAGTACAGTGTTAAATGGCAGTGGTGGGAGCAGAGATTTTTGTCTTGTTCTTGGTCTTAGGCGGAAAGCTTTCAGTTCTTTATCGCTGAGTCTGATATTACCAGTGGGCTTTTCATAAGTGTATTTCATCATGTTGAGGACTTTTCACTCTATTCCTAGTTACCTAAGAGATTTTATGATGAAAGTATGTTGAATTTTGTTAAATGTCTGAGGCTTAGTTTTTATGATACATTGATTATATTTGACCCAGCTAATTTACAGGGCCACTGTGGAAGAGTAAATTATTTTGTCTGTTTCTAAAAAGACTTTCCTTATCAATTGAAAACTGCTATGTAAATAAGATGTCATTACTTTTTCAAAATTTTATTATAAAAATTTCAAACACACACAAAAGTTAAGAAAATTTAGTACAAACTTATATACCCATTTATTTGGATTAATATTGCCATATTTGGCTTATCTATCTTTTGTGTGTGTGTGTGTACCATCTCAAGGTAAGTTGCAGACATCTTAATACTTCAATTAGGTGTCACATATCAAATTGACATATATATTCATATATCAAATTAATTTTTGTATATATATATTTTTTGTTGTTTACTCAGAAAGAAGACATAATAGGCCAGTGGTGTCTTTTTTGCTCAGCTCTTTCATAGCCTATAATTTCTTTTGTTGGCATCAGTTATTTTTTCTCTATTTGTCATTACTTTGAAGATTAACTGTTGTTAAATTTTGAGACCTAGTACCACTCCTCCTTCATTATAAATGTACAGGGCCATCACTGGGCTCTTTGTACCTGGCTAGAGTGTTGGGAGCAAGAGCACTGTTAGGCTCCTGGGTAGGGATGGAGCATAGCCGGCGCATGAAGGGTCAGGTGGGACCAGTTAGGGGGCTGCTGACTTGCAGTATGTTGGTCAGCGAGGAAACTCGCCTCGAAGCGCTCCTGTCTCCTTTGCCATTAGAGAATAGGGGCCCTCTGATGGGCTGTGAGTGAGGTCTCAAGCAAAGCTGGGTAAAAAGGATGTTTAAAAAGTTGTCAAGGGGAGCAAGCCTCTTATTCTTTTTATTGGTTTTCTAGCAAGGCAACTGTGGTAGCACAAAAGCCTTAGTGCTATCTGTCTTTAGCACTCAGATTTCTTTTTGGGATCCACTCTACTTTCTAATTAAACACTAAAACAGTCTAGCCCTGCCGGGCGTGGCTCAGCGGTTGAGCGTCGACCTAGGCTCCAGGCGATCAGGGTTCGATTCCCGGTCAGGGCACATGCACGGGTTGCGGGCTCGATCCCCACTTGGGGGTGTGCAGGAGGCAGCCAATCAATGACTCATCATTGGTGTTTCTATCTCTCTCTCTCCCTCTCCTTTCCTCTCTCTGAAATCAATAAAGATATATTTAAAAAAAGAAAGATTCAAAACAGCCTAGAATAAGGAGAGTGGATTTCTACATAGGGTGTGCTGGGGTTAGTGCTTTGGGCCTCAGTTGTTGTTGCTTCATTTGTTTAGTGGCAGCTATCTGGTTTAAAAGTAAGGGAGACCATTGTTTCATTTAACTTAGGATCAGGACTGGATGGTGTAATTAACAAGTTCATGGGCTGTATTCAAAGTATATCAGCTTAAAATATTGCTGAAAGTTTAGTTAATATTTTTTACTCAATATCAGTGCTCCAGAGAAACTAGTTGAGTTCTTTGGCACATTTGAAATTGGGATTGAATTTTTTTTTTGCTTATCTGTATTTTCTGATTTTTCAAATAATCATGAAATAACTATAATTTTTATTTTATTTTTAAAATATATCTTTATTGATTTCAGAGAGAGAAAGGGAGAGGCAGAGAGAGAGACAGAAACATCAATGATGAGAGAGTCATTGATCGGCTGCCTCCTGCACACCCCCCACTGGGGATCGAGCCCACAACCCGGGCATGTATCCTGATTGGGAATCGAACCCCAATCTCCTGGATCCTAGGTCGATGCTCAACCACTGAGCCATGCCCGGCTGGGCAATAACTATAATTTTTAAAGGAAAGTTTAAAAAATAAGAAATTGGTATTGACTTAACTAATGTCTTAAATATCTATCACAGGCTCAGTTTACAATAAAGAGGCACATTACATAAGTAAGAATCTTAGGAATAAATAATTTGCATTGATTGACATTAATATGTCCTGTATACTTGTTTCCTTTTGATACCGGACAAACTGGGGAGGGCGTCCCCTTTCCCACTTGGTGCTGCTGGGGGAAATATCTTGAGAAAAATTATTTTCTGAGACTTGCATGGGAGAACGAGTGATTTTTATTTGCATGGAAGGAAATCCCTGTTTCTAAATTCCCATCTCCCTTGGTCCAATCATAGAAGAAGTGTAGCTGGGGTTTCAGTAAAGCTAGAAGCAAAGCCTTTGTCCAGACTGTCCTTTCCATGTTGGAGCTGGGTCCAGTATAGCACCAGGCTAGTTGCCTTCCTTTTATTAGTCCACTGCACATGGGGGTCCACATGGCCAAAGACCATGTGGGTGAAAGCCAAGAAGCCAAGCATGGGCCATGAGCCAGACATGCCAAGAGGACCTGAGCGTAAGAGCACAAGAGAGGGAGCTTCTTTGTTCAGGGAATTAAGTATCCCAAATCTTCTCGGGCTTGCAGTGGCCACCCCCATTCTGGCTAACCATCTGTGTCCTCAGGTGTGATTGACAGTCAAGTACCTTCCCTAGTCATTGTGTCCCTGGGCATGTGTCTGTTTTCCCTTTGTCCAGTCCCTTTTCCCCAGTATTTTACAGGGAACATGCCTATAATGTCTGGCCTTTCCTTTGCTTTTTTTCCTATTATTAATAATTAGCTAATTACAACAGTATCATTTTAATAGATTAAGAACTTGAAAAGATTATTGTTTCCCCTAGCTCTTTCTCTAAAACTCAGTTTCTTTTCAAGCTGATTTTTATTTTCCTGCCTTCCTTTTATTATCTACTGCTCTGTCTTTGAGAAATAATTAAATTTGAGATTTAAAAATCTCTACGACTAGACCATGATCTCAATTAATTTCATTTTTTTTAAATTTAAAATTGAGTCCTTTAACATACTTTATGATTTCTTATTTTGCTTATTTCTTATTTTGATTCTGTTGCTTCTGCCACTTAAATAGTTTCTTTTTTTTAAAACTAATTACTGAATAATGCTACTAAAAGATTGTACTCTGGACCTATCTACTTCATTTCATTATTAGTTTTCTAATACAAAATCTAAATTCTTGCATTTATGTCTCCCTAACCAACATTTTGTTTTTTCTAGCTTCCTGCCCTACTTAAATATATGGAAACCTTTTGAATGTAAATGTTTATTAAAATGAACTTTAACTGGACTCCCTTTTAACATAAGTAAATGGAAGTAAAAGGAGAGTATTATGCTAAGTGAAACAAGTCATTCAGAGAAAGACAAGTGTCACATGATCTCACTTACATGTGGAATCATATGAACAAAATAAACTGATGAACAAAATAGATCCAGAGACATGGAAGCATGGGACAGACTGACGAATCTCAGAGGGAATCGGGGGTGTGGGGGAGAGATTAACCAAAGAACTTTTATGCATAGATGCATGGCCCAAGGACACAGACAATGGTACGGTGAGGGCCTGGGGTGGGGGGTCAGCGGGGGAAATAAAGGGGACATCTGTAATACTTTCAACAATAAAGATATATGGTTTTGTATAGAGATGGAATTGCTGTTAACTCATTAAGGAAAACAGTACTTTCCTAATGCTTTAATTACAGTTCTCTGTTTGCAAAGAAAGGCATGGACCAGATCTGGTTTTATTTATATAGTCAAGTTCTCAATAGCAGTCTATGCCAGGGGATCTCATCCCATTTTCTGTTGAGCTAAATCAGATTGTTCCCAGTGGAAATTGGATTCTTCCACAGGATTACAAGGAAAGCATTCCAAGGACCCATGCATGGGAGATTGTGGGGTGGGAAATTTATTTGGGAAGGCTGCCCTGCGTTTCCAGTGTTCTATCTCCCTCAGTCCCACCATGGAAGAAGTCCAGCTGTGTCTTCAGCAAGGCCAAGACAAAGGCCAGTGTCCAGAGTTTCTGTTTCATAGTAAAGCTTAGTCCTTTGGAGCCCGCATGGTCTGCCGT